TAACTAACAGCACTAACCTAAACTATTTTTTTCCCAATGTGCTAACAGAATTCTAAATAACTATCCTAAATAATAAAAGAAAAATATTCACAAAGAAAACAAACACCAACAGCTCTCTCTACTAAGGAGGACACTAAATTGTTCCAACTCTCAGAAGGGGGGCTATTAGAAGACATTGAGTAGCGAGCAGGGACACAATGCCCTTTATGTCCGCGGAAGGGAGTGTGGAGGTGTGAAGGGTGCATGTGCAACCCCTGGTGGACTCTCCTCATAAAAATATCTGACTCCTGTCCAGAAGGCATGTGTGCACCATGAGTGGAATCCACATGCACAGGAACTCATAGAAAAACTATCCGTTTGGAATTCCTACCCAAAACTGGAAATAACATGAAATAGTTAAATCTGCTTCTGAACTATTAAACCAGCAAGTGTTCCCATTTAACTACTGGGGAGAAATAACATGGGAAGTCCCTATACTGTCTCAAGAAAAGAAAAATATCAGCTATACAGCTCTATTTTATATGAAGTATAGTGTGACCAGCAACCTTCTAAGGGAATGCTCTGACTAGAGGAGTTAGCTCTTGGAACAGACAATGACCTATAGCAATTAATGAACAACAAGTTCTTGAACAAACAGTGAGGTATCTCACAAAAGGGAAAACCTCTGAAATAACGCTAATGGGTGTTATGTTAGGAGTGCTTGGTATGGAGCACTAATCTTAAATGGAAAGTTGTCACCCAAGGAAAATGAATGGATAAAAACAGCATCAAGCAAGATGTAAAAGCAGCCTGTCTCCCTATAGTAGAGGGATGCAGTTATTGCCTCAGTTTCCCTCTTGGTTTCCTTCTGGTCTGTAGTTTTCAAGCAGTTCTGGTGAGTTGAAGTGACTTGGCTCGCCAATTAGGTCATAAATACTGTCCCCTTCCTCAGAACTAAAAGGTCAACAAAACAGTCTTCCACCCTACCTCATGTTGGACCATAGCCCTTCCCACAGGCATGATTATTTCAGCTCTTTGCCAGACACAACAGCCCCTTCAGCCCTGATGTCAAAGGGTTCGGAGAAGGGGGCATTCCTTCTGCTCTTGCTGGAATCCACAGCGTAGGCCCCCACATACATCAACTCCAGCCTCAGTCCACACTGCAGTATCCAGCCAAAGCCTCATCCTCTCACACTTCATACACACCCTTCCTGCAAGGGGGTGGGGTGGGGGGGTTAATTCTGCCTCTAATCCCCTCCGAGGCCCTTTCCCTCAGCCTCCTCTAACTGTTTTCCAGGTCTCCTGCCTGGTCACAGTTGAAAGTTTCATCCCAGGTACTGCTTCAACCTTGGACTCTCCCAGGATTGCACTATATTCAGTCCTGAAGCCACCTGACCTCAGTCATAAGGGTCACTTAATCATCTGAATCCCCATACTACAATTCCCAGGACCTCTGCAGATTACATTTCCCAATACTGAAGCACTGAGCCTCCAGTGACACTTGGGCTGGTGTTGCCTGGTTTTGAAGGGGCCAACACATTCTGTTAAACTCATTTCATTCCCTAGGAATAGTTGCAGTGTAAGTGCATTAAATCTGACCCTACAGTATCAGATTTTTGCCATTAGGAACAACTCCTACCTATTAACAGGGTTATGCAATTATGCAAGTCTCCATAGTTCCAAACACTGCAAGCTGTACATGGAAATTCAAGGAAACTACTTCAGCTCAAAATCTAACTGGCCTAAGAAGTAAGTGCACTGTTGATGCATATAAGTTTTGTATCCTAGGTTCCAATTTTTCCAAAGAACAGCACTGAATGATAAATTTCAATCGAACCAGCTAGACAGAATCTTCATCAGTAACAAAGACCTTGGAGAAATGCCTTATATTTGAATAGCAGCACCTACTGGTTTGCAATTTGCATTTGTAAGGAGGAGGTCGAATAAATTTTCCTGCCCAGGAAATCCAACTTCTTTATCCTTGGGAGTGGACTTGTACCTCCCTTCACGTGACCTGTCATTGGCTACTGTCATGACAAGCAAGTTAAGGGCAGGATGCAAATAAAAACACTTGAATCCCTACATAAATACATAATGATTGTCCATATGCTTTCTCATAGATGTCAAAGATGTTGGGGTGTTCCACAATGCAGCAGGTTCCAACAGTGCATTGTTAACAGAGCTACTCTTCCTAAGTTCTAGGACTTAAAAATATCCACTAACTTGTGCATGTTTTCCTGCACCAATTCGGCCTGTATATCTATGGCCAATGCCAATCATCTAAGGATGTCCTCCTGTGCCTGAAAGTGTTCAGCCCTGGAGAGGAAGCATCTGTTACCATGGTGTCATCTGGTGATGAGGAAGATGAAGGAAGAGGTGTCACTGGCCTCTCTGGATGCAGTACCAGACCTTGCACCTGTTCTGAGGTAGTGTCCTCCACCTGAATCTGCAATGTAGGTGGCTGGGGAGGTGATGCCATGGGTGGGTTGGGTGCTCTTGCCCGGAAGTGGGTTGAAGGTCAGGACCTTAAGAAATAAGGAACATCCTATGGATACCCAGGCCACTGTGGATAGGGATAAGGCATCAGTGGCCAGTAGGCATTGGGCCAAGAGCCTGTCTCTGCTGCGGGAAGAGTCATGGATGAGAAAGGGGTCAGGATGAGAAAGGGGTTCTCAACTGTCTTTTAGACTGGGAGGGAGGACCTCAAGCTTGACTACGATGAATTCGCAAAATCATCCACAGGTAATGGGGGAGCAACCCCTGGCAGAGCAAGATAGAGTCCAGCCTCATCAGAGTTCCAATGTGCTGGTTGCATCAGCCCCAAGGCTGACAGAGAAGTTGGTGCCCTGAAGGACTGGCAAGGGCAATGCATTCTCATTTGGTACCAATGCCAAAAAAGGCACAGACACTGGTGTCAGTACTGATCCAGTAATGACACAGTCTGCACCATGACGACTATTGGTGCCACAGATGACTGCTGTGCTAACGAATCCCTCAGCACCGGTACCAGCGCCAGCCTCAATTATGTACTCAATCTGATATGCACTGCTGAGGGCAGTGTTGGCAGCTGAGATACCTGTGGAGTTAACCTACTGATGGCTGATGAAGTCGCAGCACCTGAATATTCCCAGACAATTGGAGAATGAGGATCCAAAAGGCAACGCACATCTGACATTGCCTGATATGTCAAAGGACTGGATAGCACTGGTGCCAATGTCACTGGTACCAGACTCAGCAGACATCCCATGGACAGAGCCAGAGTCGACGGTACAGCCCCAAACTAATGTTGCCTTGGTACTGGAGAGCAGGTAGAAGGGCCAGTTCCATCACGTGTACCTGAAGAGTCATGGTGCCAGCCTGCACTGATTCTGGCAGAGGAGGACTCTCTCCAAGTTCTGGAGTGGCCATGGTCTGTTTTATTGGTCATTTTCTCAGAGGCCCAAGGGAGATGAATGATCCCTCTTCCTCCTAGAGGAGGCCTCAGAGTCTGACAGAGGAACATCGTCTTGTTATGGTTATGATGTTGGCTGAGGAGGCAATACTGTGCCTGGTGCCAACCAGGACTCATGGCATGCTGCATCAGGTGCTGCTTGAGATTCAAAGTCCCTTGATACCTGCATTCTTAAACGATTTGCAAATAGAGTACCTTTCCTTAATGTTCCCCTCTCTAAACACTACACATGAGGATCACTATTAGGAACAGCCACCCCACACGCCAGACAGAGCTTAAATCCTGGTGAAGGCATTCCACCTGAAAAAACACAGCTACTCAACCTAACTTTTCTAACTAAGGCACTACTAGATAACTGAGTATTATGACTATTTACAACAAAATTTCAGAAGAATGAAACACAAAATCCGAGTCAAGAAACACCCCACAAACTCCAGCTCAAGCTGAGGGCAGTGAGAAGGAAGTGGGGGGGGGGGGGGAGGAGAGAAAGAGGGTCAGAGCAGCAGTATCCTTAATAGTCATATGAGGGGCCATAAAGAAAAGGTGCAAGCACCGGCCCTATGGCTACTGCTAGGCAAACTTTTCTGGCTTTGATGCACTGGACACATGCATACCTGAGTGGAACATATCTGCAACCACTCAAAGAACTATTTCTTGTTTTGTCTCATGGTATTTAATGAAAACCTTTTAATTCACTGTCTTCATTTGATGATAGGATCAGTTTTCCATTCTTCACACTATACTAACAAATGCTTTAAAGGGGCATTTTCTTTTTCATTTTAAAACCTGACTTGAGCTTTCGGAAGCTGTCAGATCAAACGCTTATTTAGCAACATCCATCTTCCCAATGCACAATAATGCATTCTTTACAACAAATACAGAGGATGACATTTCCCATATCTGCAGGTGGACAGCCTTCACACTAATGTCCTCTTGTAGTTTTGTTTTAATTGGAAACAGCCACATGAAAAACTGCCACTTAAATACATTTGCAAGACAATTCTTCCCTAATCAACTAAAACAGACCTCTTTGTTTGGGATTAGTTCTGCTCCTTTCCCCACCTCCAGGGGTGAGTTCTTAATTTAGTGGATGAATTTGGTCCTCATGAAAGTGACGATCACAGCTGGAGGCAAATGCTTAGCATGGCAAGGTGCTATGCAGGATTCTCCATATAGCTCTGCCAAATTATGTGATGGTTTTATTATGTGGACAGATGTCCCCTGAAGACCAAGAAGCAACTTCCAAATTTATTTTCACTTCGGACCTACTCAGTATTGGAACCTGATTTACCAGAAGTGAATGTTAAGTGAATTGTAAGTGCTTTAGCCCTACTTTGCTTACTAGTCCCTGCACACTCACTGAACTACATAGCTCCTAGAATTTTTCACTTAAATTCTAACTGTCCACTTAAGAGTCTCTCAGAATATTAAAAACACAGACCTTCAGGGAAAAATTACTTGTTTAGCTAATTTATAACACAGTATGAAGTTTGATTTGATGCCTGAATAATCATACACATGATTAAACAACTATTTTTCAAATTTAGGTAGACCAAAACTATTTCCTTACCTCCAGGGTCTTTGTCTGGATTATATTCCAATGCATTGCTACAGATGAGATCAATATCTGTTAGGAAATCCTTGGCAGTCAAATAGTTGTGTTTATCAATTTTGGTTATTACTGTTGACAGGTCCATTGGTTCTTTGATAACTTCAAGATAATCTGAAACCTACAATCAAACAGCATACTGAAGTGACACAGGGCCTTATGCATTTCATCGGCACACTTTCCCACGTTACACACATATTTATGCAGCATACTTAGTACTAATTAAGAAATGTGCCAGTTCAACATTTTGAGCATTCTCATTTTCAACACATCTTTAATTCAAACATTTTAAACACAGAAATTGAAATTATAGTGCTGGTGTTAGACTGCTAAAGTTATAGTTCCTTCAGAGAATCAATGATACGTCTAATTTTCAGAGCAAACCAAATTGGTGCTGCAATTAAAGCCTCTTTGATATTATTATTGTCCTGAACATGAAAAATAGTGGCCCTACCCCCACACAAAGCAGAACTGTGAAACTGTTTCTCCATTCTCCATTTTTTGTTAGTTTAAGTAGTCAAATCATTAATCTTTAAAAATAATTTTCTGGAAAACATTTGCAATAATAATATGTATGAACACCAAATCTAATTTCGCCACCATGGACTTTACAGCAGGGCTTTCTCAGAAGAAGGCCCCTTGTCTGTGGAGTTCACTGCCTTCTATGGTGCACCTCATCATGGGTTCAGCAGCCCTCCAGGCAGAGTGAAAGGTATTTAACTGAATTAACTGTATGACGGGGGGTTAACTCTTGGCAAGAGAAGATACCAACAGAGCTCTACTAACTGTAGCTCACTGAGATATGCATGTATTTATTATTTATTCTTTATTTCGATTAAAACAAAGTATGATTCTGCATGAGTGCTTCAACGTAATTAAGATTACAATCAATTTAAAATGTAGGTAGGCCTCAGTGTTTGTGTAGTCCTGAATATTTTTAAATCACCCATATATTAAGGTGATGGTTGCCAAAAAAAGGAAATACATTTAGATCAAACTGTAATGGCTCCAGAGGAATAATTTTTGATTAACCAGGTAAACATGCATTTTTAGAAGTTCCAACAAAAAATATATCACAACATAAATCTTAGATTAAGATCATACTTCAATGTCATATACAATACCTATCTACTGGCTAAATGCTTAAACATATATTTAAAGTGCATTTTCTATTCTGAACAGGCAGTAAAAATGGCATCCCCAAATGTAAACTGTCCAGTTTGCAAGTAGAATGATATTTTTCTAAACAGAGGCCCCTGTTAACTCATCCTGGGATCTAAAAGTCAACCTGTATTTTTTCAAGTGTATCACCACCAGTAATAGAATCTTCATGTGAAACTGCAAATTTATATAGCAGATTAGTTAAATAAGAAAAGGAGGTCTTCTCGTTAAGGCACTAGGGACTGGGACTTGAGAGATCTGGGATTAATTCCTAGCACTGTCACAGATTTTGTATAACCCTTTGGCAAATCACTAAATCTCATCTGTGTCAATTCCCCATCTATAAAATGAAGATGATAATATTCCTTCTGCATAGTTGAAGAGAATAGTTCATAGTTTTTTAACAAACAAGTTAAGTTACAAATAATGTTCAAATACTGCATCTGGCTTGAAGCTGGTGGAGGACTGGATGGGGCCTCACATAAATGCCTGTTAACTCTGCATGTAATTTAAAGTGCAGTTCTTCTCTAAAAAATTACACTAAAAATGACATTGCAGGGTCCCATTTTAATTGTCTCTCAATGACTTACAGAATGAATGTTCAGATTGGAAGTAGAAGAGTGTTTTTTCTTACTGCCATCCCTACAAAGTTAGTCTTCTATCTGAAAGCCAAGCTAGGCTCTCTCCTTTTCACACACCAGCACAGTAATAGACTTGCAGGCCAAATGATGCCCTCAGTTATAACTGCAACCCCACTATCTTCCAATTATGTCCTTCAACAGTAAGAGCTAATTTTTGTTAATTAAAGAAAGCAAATACAATTCCAAATACATCCTGGTAGCAGATTTGATGAATAAGGTGCTACCATTTTTATAATGCTGATTTTCAGAGTGGAAAAGCACTTTAAACTGACTAGTATAGGCTAGAGTAATGAAAGTTTCTCTGCTGAACCAGTAGTGTGTCCAAGAATATGCTTCTGATCACTCACACTGTGGTACAGAAGGTTCTGACTAAGCCACCAGTTGATTACTGATGGGCAGAATTGGCTAGGTCATGGATAGCAAGGATATCTGGGATATTAATCTATCCATGCCCTTTTTAATTAATAGTATTTTTTTTCTAATAGGTTCAACTTCATTTTTTGCACGTTACTGAAACAAGACCTCTTCAATATCCACCGGTTTGCTGAAGATGTTAAAGCGTTTGTCTGTGGCCAGCCTCTTGGTAACATCCCTGAGAAACAACCGCAGTTCTCTCAATGTGTTCTCCTCCTGGTCCTCCATTCGTTGCTTTTCTGTTTCTGAGAGCTGGCGGGGAGGAGACGGTAATGCAAGAGGAAGAACTTCCAGAGCACAAAGAGCTAGGGAAGAAAGCAGGAAAAAGTCAGAAAGTAGTATTAGTAGTAAGAGGGAATTGTAGGATTACACCTTTCTGGACTTTCACAATGCATTTAATCAAGGGGGGGGGGGGGATTTCCCATTTTCCTTCCGACTTTTCAACCTTCACCATTTAACCACCTTCCCATCTCACTCAGTATAATAGAAACAAGCGAGTTCTGCACATTGATAAACTGGCAGTTAGGGTCATGAACAACTGAATTTCCCCAAAACCATTTAAAAAGAAAAACATTTTACAGTACAAAACTTTATTCAAACAGATTCTCACACTCCCGTGGCTTTATTGTAAAGTAGCTTACCAGCCTGTTTCCTTTTGGGAGGGGGCATTGATGCCTGATTAAGAATTAACTCCTGGAAAAATCTCAATCTGTCTTCTTCACTTGGTCTTTGAATATAAAAAACCTCTTCATACTGGATTCTAAAGATACACTTCACCTGCCAGAAAACAATGTCATGAAAAGTCAAAGGATTCAACTTGTTCTTGAACTATTTGATCAATGTATATTTTAAATACAGAGGATCAACTTTTCAAAAGACACAAACTGGCCGTACCTGAGAAGTTACCGAACCATTTCCAAAGAAGCACAACGTCCAAGGAAAAAACGGTTACCTACCTTTTCGTAACTGTTGTTCTTCGAGATGTGTTGTTCACATCCATTACACCTTAGGTGTGCGCGCGCTGCGTGCACGGACGTCGGAAACTTTTTCCCGCAGCGGCTCCCATCGGGCCAGCAGGGGTCCCCGCCCTCCGCCAGAGTGGCGCTCCACTCTAGAATATATATATATATACACACACCTGCTGACCCGACCCTCCCTCGGTTCCTTCTTGCCGGTGACTCCAACAGAGGGGAAGGAGGGTGGGAAGTGTAATGGACGTGAAAAACACATCTCGAAGAACTACAGTTACGAAAAGGTAGGCCGGCCTTTCATTCTGTCCGCAATCACAATGAACAGTTGTGTCGACTTACGAAATGGCCTGGTCCATTCCAGATAGAACGCCAGGGCCCTACGGACATCGAGGGTATGCAGGCTGCGGTGGCTCGGGTCCGTATGGGGTTTGGGGAAGAACGCTGGTAAACAAATGTCCTGCCCCATATGAAATTGCAAGACCACTTCAGGGAGGAATTTGGGGTGCGGTCTCAGCTGCACCTTGTCGTTAAAACTGTATATGGAGGTTCCGAAGTGAGGGCTCTCAACTCCGACACCCTCCTAGCTGATGTAATGGCCACCAGAAACGCTACCTTCCATGAGAGGTGCATGAGAGAGCAAGAGGCTGGGATTCAAAGGGTGGTCCCATGAGCTTAGTTAAGACCAGGTTAAGGTTCCATGTAGGGACCGGCGGGCGTGAGTAGGGGAACATCCTTTCTAGACCCTTGAGAAATCCGACTACTGTGGGGATGGAAAATACCGAATGCCCCAACTCTCCCGGGTGGAACGCCGATATGGCGGCCAGATGCACTTTAATTGAGGAGGGGGCAAGCCCTTGATGTTTGAGGTGCAGCAAGTAGTCCAGTATTGATGGGATGGAGGCCTGCAGAGGCTGTATGTGATTAGGCTCGCACGAGTGGAAGAACCTGTTCCATTTGGCAAGGTAAGTCGCTCTTGTGGTGGGCTTCCTACTATCAAGGAGAATTTGTTGGGCTTGGTGGGAGCACCTATTCTCCATAGCATTTAACCACAGAGATTCCACACCGTGAGATGTAGTGACGGTAGGTTCGAGTGGAGTAGGCGACCCTGGTCCTGTGTGATGAGGTCTCGGTGCAGGGGTAGGGCAATCGGGGTGGTCAATGACCGTTCCAGCAGGGTTGTAAAGCAACGCTGGCACGGCCACGCCGGTGCGATGAGGATAATCACCGCTTTGTCCCTGTGGGTCTTGAGCAGGACCCTGTGGATGAGCGGGAAGGCATACTTCAGGCTCCCGCCCCACTGAATCGCTAAGGCACTGCCAATGAGCCCGGGCTGAAGTTCTGGAATGAACAAAACCGAGGGCATTGGCTGTTGTCCTTGGTGGCGAAGAGATCCACCTGGGGAAAACCTCACCTCCGGAAGCTTGAATGCAGGACGTCCTTTCTTAACGTCCATTCGTGCATGTGATACGACCTGCTGAGGCAGTCTGCTAACCTGTTTTGAACCCCCGGAAGATATGTTGCCATCAATTGGACTAAGTGGGCTATACAGAAGTCCCATAGGAGGAGCGCCTCGTGACAGAGGGGAGAGGAGCGGGCCCCGCCCTGCTTGTTTATGTAGAACATGGCGGTAGTGTTGTCCGTCAGAACGGTCATGCTGTGGCCTTCTATGGTAGCGTGAAAGGTCTGGCAGGTGAGGCGAACCGCCCTTAACTCCTTCACATTGATGTGGAGCAACTTTTCCTCCCTGGACCATAAGCCCTGCATTCGTAGGTCCCTTAAGTGTGCCCCCCAGCCCAGGTCTGACGCATCTGTTACTAACGTCAGGGTGGGCTGTGGTGTAGTGAAGGGGACCCCTTCGCAAACTTGCTGTTGATCGAGCCACCAGTGGAGGGAGTTCGAGACCCGAACTGGGATTGTCACTACAAGGTCCAAGGGGTCTCTGCTGGAGCGATACGTTTGGGCTAGCCACAGCTGTAACAGTCTGAGTCTCAGGCGGGATGTTTGACTACCTGTGTGCAAGCCGCCATGTGCCCCAGGAGTTGCATACAGCACCTGGCTGTGGTTGTGGGAAATTGCTGAATGGAGATTACAGCTCTTTGAATGGCCAGGAACCTGGGAACTGGAAGACTTGCTCGTGCCTCCACCGAGTCTAGGACTGCTCCTATGAAGTCTAGTCTTGGTGTGGGGATCAGTGAGGACTTGGGCACATTGACCAAGAGACCGAGCTTGTGGAACACATGTAACGCCAGTGTCACATGGGAGCAAACCTCGTACGCTGACCTGCTTGCGAGGAGCCAGTCGTCCAAGTATGAGTATACCCGCATCTTTCTTTTTCGAAGAAAGGCTGCCACCATGGACATGCATTTCGTGAACACTCGAGGGGCTGTTGCCAGGCCGAAGGGCAAGACCGTAAATTGGAAATGGTGAAACGCAGGAACCGCCAGTGAGCGGGGCGGATGGCGATGTGAAAGTACGCATCTTTCATATCGAGGGCAGCGTACCAATCCCCTGGATCCAGGGATGGGATAATAGCGCTAAGAATTTGTTTAGTTTGCGAAGGTCCAAAATGGGGCAGATACCCCCTTTTGCTTTGGGGATAAGGAAATATCTGGAGTAGAACCCTTTTCCTCTTAGGTTCTGGAGGGACTTCTTCCACCGCCCCTGCCCTGAGGAGGACCTGCACCTCCTGCATAAGGAGTTGCTCATGACAGAGGTCCCTGAAGAGGGACGAGGAGGAGAGGTAGGGAGGAGGTAGGGGGCGAGGAGAACTGAAAAGCGTATCCCACATCCACCGTGTGAAGGACCCAACGGTCCGATGTTATATGGGACCAAGCACAGTAGAAATGGGACAAACGGTCCCTGAAATATATGGGAGGATCCAGTGTGAGGGTCGGTACGCTGTCATCGATCGCAACTTCAAAATCCTTGTTTGTTGCCAGGTTGCAGCTTGCCCTGGCCTTGGTTTTGGTTAGGCGTGTTGTTTCGCCTGTTGTCTCTGCCCCCTTCTGCAGTACGGTTCCTGCCTTGGGCGAGGGTGGTACTGCCTCTGCTGCGGCGGTTGGGGCTTAAAGGGCTTCCTCTGTGTTGCTGGAGTGTGCATTCCCGACAACTTGAGGGTCGCTCGGGAGTCTTTGAGGCTATGCAGCCTGGCATCCGTTTGGTCTGAGAACAAGCCTGACCCTTCGAACGGGAGGTCTTGTAAGGTGTTTTGCACCTCTGGTGAAAGGCCTGAAGCCTGTAACCACGCTGAGCACCTCATCACCACCTCTGATGTGATTGTCCTGGCAGCTGCGTCCGCAGAGTCAAGGGAGGCCTGCAGAGAGGTTTTGGCCACCGCCTTCCCTTTGTCCATGATGACTGCAAACTCGGGTTGCGAGCCCTGAGGCAAGTCCTTAAACTTGGAGACTGATGCCCAAGAATTGAAATTGTGCCTGTTCAGGATCGCTTGCTGATTAGCGATCCTTAATTGGAGGCCCCCGGACGAGTACACCTTTCTACCAAACAAGTCCAAGCACTTTGCCTCCTTGGCCTTGGGGGCCGGGGCTTGTTGGCCATGTCGCTCTCATTCGTTGACCGCGGATACGATCAGCGAACAAGGTGTAAGGTGACAAAAGAGGCAGTTGAACCCTTTGGAGGGGGTGAAGTACTTCCTCCCTATGCCCTTTGGAGTTGGTGCACTGGAGGCCGGTGTTTGCCATACTGTCTTATAATTAGACTATCATTTTTATGAGTGGGTGTGCAATTCTGGAGGAGCCTTTAGGGCTTAGGATGTCTACCAGGGGATCCTCCTGCTCTACCATCTCCTCCACCTGTAAACCCAAATTGAGGGCTACTCGGCGGAGTAGTTCCTGGTGCACCCGATGGTCAGTCGGGGGAGGGCCTGATACTGCCGTGCCCGCCACGGCTTCATCTGGCGAGGAAGAAGAAGTTAGAGCCTTCTGTGCTTCCTCCTCTAGCCCTTGCTGCATCTCCTCACCGGCTGGGAGCTCCTCTGGAGTCTGTCCAGCTGAGCGGGCCTGAGACGGTACCAGGCTCGGTGCCGTGTCGGCTCTCTCTTGCTCCGGTGGTCTGGAGACCATGGTCTCCTTGTGAGAGGAGAGGCGCCCCTGCGGGGAGCGGGACCGGTGTCCTGAGAGGCCAGATCTCGAGGCCCTGGATGGGGGGCCTTGGTGCTGGTGGTAGGCCCATGGAGTCCAGAATGGCCACTGTCCTGGCGTGCCCCACTGTGGGTGCCAAGGGGCTTGGTGCTGCTGGCTGGTGCCCTGTGGGTATATCTGCTGGAATGGCCCGAGTGACTCAGAAACCACGGACGGTGACCTTGAGGGTCACGGCGGTGCCGTGGAACGGTGCCGGTCCGGGCCGGAGAGCGGCACTTTCTTGACTGGGACCGGGATTAGGAATGGTGCCTTTTCGACCCGGACCGGTGCCCTTGGGACCGGGAACGACTGCTAGTGGTCGGTCTCGGGGATCGCGTGACTGAAAAGTCCCGGTGCCTGTTCGGATAAGGAGCCGGGGAACGCTGGACCGGTGCCGGGCGTTTGCTAGGGCAAGACGCCTGTGAAGCTCTCTGTGCCGAGCGTAGCCGGGAGTCCACCGAGGCAGAGCTCGACCGGGACCGGCGCCGTGAACGGTGCCGAGATGGTGACTTTGATGGGCGCACCATTGCCGGTTTGCCTCTGGATGGTAGTCTCGGTGTCAGCCCCGGATGCTTGTCTTTGGCCTGGAGGGGGCTCTCCACGAACAATTCGATGAGGTCCCTTGCTGCCTCAAACGTGTCCGGCGTGGAGGGCTGTTCCAAAAGCTCCTCCTGCCCTTCCTCCTCACTCGAGGCGCTTATCCCGGGGCTCGACGGGCCTTTCGGCGCCAGAGCCACTGGCACCGGGATCTGTCCTGGGGCAGCAATGCCCTTTAGCGCACTCGAGTCCTTCACAGGCGCTACCTTTTTATGTGGGGAGCGCCCTCGGGCCTTGGGTTGGCCCTTTTGATTTGGTCGGCGAAGACGACCGGTGCCGGGGGCGGTCCTGTTGTTTTGGTGCTGTAGGCTTAGGGGGCCCCACCGGTGCAGGATCACGAACTGATGCCGGGGCACTCCGCACCGAGGCTGACGGTGCCACGGTCGGATGAGTCGAAGTGGAGGGCTGTAATGCAGCCTCCATGAGTAGCTGTTTAAGCTGAAAGTCTCTCTTTTTCTTAGTTCTGGGCTTGAAAGCCTTACAGATCTTGCAGCGCTCTTTCTGGTGCAATTCCCCAAGGCAACGGAGACACGAGTTGTGGGGATCGCTAATCGGCATAGGCTTGCGGCACATGGTACAAGCCTTGAAGGCTTGGGCGTGTGGTATGCCCCGCCGCCCAGGGCCGGTGTCGGAATTTAGCCAAACACCTAAAACAAAGGAGCTTAACTATCTTCTAACAAACTGCTAACTACTAATATTAACTGATAACTATTAACGCTAAGGGACACTCTCAGGCAAGAGATAAGAGTTGTTCCAATGCCGTCACGGACAGTAAGAAGGAACTGAGGGAGAGTCGGGTCAGCAGGTGTATATATATGCTAGAGCGGGGCGCCGCTCTGGCGGGGGGGGACCCCTGCCGGCCCGATGGGAGCCTCTGAGGGAAAAAGTTTTCGATGTCCGTGCATGCGACTCGCACACACCTAATGTGTAATGGACGTGAACAATCACTCAAAGAAGAAAATTAATAATCTGGAATGGTTATTCAAGTTTCCACAACATGCAAGTTAAAGAGGCAGTGCAGCTACAGTTGCTACTGCAATGATAGGAGGAGGAGAAAGAGAAAATTAGAAAAGAAAATTGTATTAATACATTAAATTTTAAAACAACTAAAGCTACACTGCAGTCGCTGAGTCAAATTCTACTCTTTCTTACATTGCAATATAATCGAGACTAACTCCACTGACTTCAATGGGTTTTTCTGGAATTATACCAGTGTAACAGAGCAAAATCTAACACACAGTCTAGAATAGCGGGAGCTCCTTTATGGAGATCAAAGAAGATGGAGATCATTCTTAGTCGTAGAGGAAATACTGTCATTCAAATAAAGACAAAAGGATTTCAAGTTTGTTATTTCGGATGTTTTCTGTGCAGAAGATAATGTTTGCAAGAATTAGCACATATGAACTAACCTTAGACTTCATGTAAGGCAATTTTAGAGCTGAAATAAAATTAATTTAGCAATTTCAATGTGAGATATTTTAAAGTAAATTATAAGAACGATAGCATAAAGTTCTGGTTATGTACAGCTGTTCTATATTAAAGTGTCATATATTCTTAAAAAGAGACACACATTGGTAATGCTTCCACTCTCAAAAAATATGTAACACTCACCTCTTCAGGTAATTCACTATACATGGTTTCAGAGGTAGACAGCAGAAATATCGGAGAAAATGACGGTATGTCTTGCAGCAAAGTTAGAAAAGTAGCTCTCACAGTTTCACTGACAGCTTCCCACCAGTCACCAATATGAGGCATGTAAACAATACTTGGTACAGTTCTTCGAGCTTCACGAAAGATCTAGTAAAGAGAAACACTAGTATTTAAATTCAGAAATTAAGTATTACGACACACACAATAAAAAATGAAAACTTATGGGCTTAGGTAATGCCTCCTGGTGCCTTCAATAGACATCCTCTCATCAGCTTAATTAGCTCAAATTACAATAAAAATGCTTTCCATTCAAGTTTTTATGAATATATTGTTTGCTTCATCAAATTACTTTAAGCCAGTATGCAAAACAGCTACAGGTCATATAAGTCAACATCCTGTTTTAATAATCTATTATAACAAAGATCCAACAAGCAAACCACATGGAAAGTTAAACTGTACCACATTTTGCAGCAGAAGAGAAAAATGTGAAATGTCACAACAAATACAAGATGAAATGTCATACTAGCTTTTTAAGATTTGTAAGCACTATGCCGAGTCCATTAAGTAGCTTTGTTCTGGCTCAGGCACTTGTAAATACAGTGCACTGAGTTGGTTGCTGGTGGTTAACCAAATAGAATGTTTGACAGGAGGACTGACATTTTTCAAGAGCAAGGAAACATTTTAATTAATTAACTTTAAGTTTCGGGTTTGTTTATCTTAGAATTTTAGCAGCTTTGCTATTATTCCCCATGGCCTGCTATTTTTTCCTCGTAGGAGAATCAGTGTTCAGTGTATCTGTTACACCTCAAAATTTCACCCTCTATATCCCACTCTATGAGTACATAAAAACTCAGCTCAATTACCACTTCCCTTTGTCTCCTGGCAGCCCAGATATTCGGACATCATTATGATAGTAGAGCAAGAAATATTCCTCTAGTTTATTTTAACAAGTCCATATCTATTTGTAACTTTTTTTTAAACGTTCATTTTAATTCTGGTGGCAGATTCTTCAAGAACTCAAATTGTTTCTTCAGTTTGAGTTGTACTGCCCACAACAATTGCTACAAACTCTTTCAACTCCTTATCGGTGATTACTATTGATTCCATTCAGTTTGCCCAAAACACTTATAGAAAAGAATGACAACTTAAGGATTGTCTTTCTGGTCCTAAGTTTGACTCCAATCAGGAGTGAGAGATAAGGATGCCATTCCTTTTTTACAGTATTAGAGCTCTGAATCAGAATTTTGGCCTTACTTGTTTACTTCTTCCAGCCACGCCCTCTTTTAGGTGTTGAATGTGATATGTTAAAAATAAAGCTAACACACGTTACCACAACATAAATTTGTGATAACTCTGTGAAGCTTCTCTTCCACACAGCTGCTTGCTAACAGCATTATGGGACTCCAGCCTCACACAATTATTCACTAAACTGATAATGTGCGCACGGAGAGTTTAATGCAAAGAAAGACTTCAGTGGCCTTCTAGTGTAAGCCCACCATAATTGGCCTGTATATTTTGGCATACCAAAGGATCTGCCCTTAACAGTTAAAATTACAACAAAATAGTTAAGGTAGATACTATATATCATCAGAAATATTGCAATACAGGATTCTCTTAGGGTTTCTGGTTTAAAGATCATATATGAAATTTTAAATTTTTAAGCCAATAAATTCCAAGAAAAAAATGTTAAAAACAGAGTTAAGGCTGAGAATACATATGAGTAAGTTTAGGATTAAAAAAATCACATTATATTTTACCCTTATGTTACTAATACACTTTTAACATTAACCTTAATACTTTTAAACAATTTTTTTGTCTTGCATAGATCTAGATATAAAATGGAACCAGGCATAAGCAACTCTCAATGAAAAAACAGTATTCTTAAGGCATAAAAACATTTTAGTAATTAGACTTGATTTTTATGCTTCTTAGAAGAATGAGTAATATTTGTAATGAAAATTTCAAGAAAAAAGTCACGTTCGCCAGTTCTGGGTTATCTCATAAAAATACATTTATGATCATATCATACTGTATGTGCACATCTTCCGTAGTAGTGGGTCCTCAATCTTTATATCTTCCCTCCCTTCCCCCCACCTATTCACTTCTCACTTCCTTTCTTAATCTCAGTATCCTCTCCTTCATATCGATCTCCTCCTCATTCTTCTTTTCACACAGATGAATAAGGTGTTAACTAAATACCATTAACCCAAACTCCCAAACAGTGACTCTCAAACTTTTTAGGAACATAGGATGTAAATAATAAATCAGGCTGTTTTAAAAAGCTTTTATGAATACTTGTATGTGTTTATTTCCTTGTCAACGAAGACAGATTTCTGTGCATGCACAGTTCAAACAAACCTATAGAAACCAGTTTTCCTTGGAAGTTACAAGGTATTGCATGGCTATAATATAGTTGTGGTCGCATATGAGGATGGAAGTCCATTCTAATAGTCCCTTGCAAGTCTTCCTTTGGCAAGAATCAGTATAGGAGAATTTGGCCTTCTTAAATCCCTCAGAATTGCATCTTCCACCTCATTCGTGGTCAATCTCATGCTCCACTTCCTTCAACCTCAGGTCTATAAACTTTCTGTGAAAACAAATCTTCTTTTGCACGCTAAACATAACCCCACTATGGCAGTTTTGTTCTCACCTGATGCAAGACTGCAAATCTCCAGGACCATTCAAATATTTTCTCATTTGTGACAAAAATCAAATGAGCAGACATCAAGAATACACCATAACTTTTGATACTGAAAACTTTTGTTTACTCTCTTCAACAGTTTTTAACGGTTCGGTTCTGTTCCACATAGGAATGTTCAACACAGAATTGACTACATGTCTTAACTTAGTTGTCACACAGACATCCGGCTGCCCAAGCAGGACTTTGAGACAGATCTAACATATGACTTCTTAAGATATAGAACCTTCTGCTGTCACCCGCCTACCTAGACAGATAAAACTGTTTACCCAGTCAGTGTCATTGCCATCTACATGCAGCATCGGCAGAAAAATCAGAATTCCTAATTATAAAACTATAAAAACTTTAACAAAAGATTTTTAATGTTATCATATTAGAATCTTCCTCTGCATTAGCTTGCAATGGCACATGTACATTGTCTTTTATCCAAAAGACCATAATTGTGTATATCATACTTTATTGGAAATAAGTTTGAATAAAAAACAGCTCTATGATGCTCAGATATTATGTAGACTCACCTGTGCACATGATTCTTCAGGTGTTTTGGCACTAACTGAATAAAGTGCTGGCAGATCTAGCCTGTGTACAGAGAATTTTTCAAGAGAGTGCAATAGTGCTGGAGCAAGGTGAGAAGTTTGACCAGAACCTCTCTCTCCTGATAGCAGTAATCTTGGCCTATAAGAGGTTGGCTGGTGGTAAGCTGACCTATAACAGAAGTAATATTTTAAAAATATCACCATGTATCATTATATAAACATATATGTTTATCTATACAGAGTTCCTGGTGTTTCAGCTTTTATTTAGTAATGTTTAAAATTTTAATTCTTTTAGATTTTTTAATTTACTTCATCTCAACTAATACAATAATAGAGATCTTCTATTGGAGATCCTACAATGACTGTACTGTGCTAACTTTGGCATGCCTCAGTTTCAGCACTGATTACCTTGGGTCTTGTCTATACACACAGTTGCAACAGTGTAACTGATTAGAAGTTGATTTAATTAATCAGTGCAAAATCTGTGTGGGTATTATTAAATTGATGCAATCCTAGATTATAATCAACTGTCTTAAATATATTCCTTACCAAAAGCAGCTAAATCAATATAATCATTCTTAAATACATTTAAAGGTTCACATGCGAGTTTGCACGAGTTTAAAAATGCAGCTTTAGAGTCCTGCTAATCCACGGATATCCACATCTGCGGATATCTGCGAACCGTTTTTGCAGATTGCAGCTTGGGTGCAGATACAAATTTTGTATCTGTGCAGAGCTCTACACCACACACTCGCCCATACGGAGCAGCTGTCACCCAGTTCTCAGGCTCCAGCTCAGCTCTCTGAATTACGCAGCAGCAGGCTGCGATATGTGGCAATAGTCCGCTGGGAATTCTGGGCGTTCTAGTCCCCAGCTTGCTCAAAACGGAGGAGGTAAACTACAACTCCCAGAAGGGAGTGAGCCAAGCACCATTCTGAAAGAGGTGTAGTTGTACTTTAAACTAGCGGGCAGCAACAGCAAGCGTTACGGAGAGAGTAGTTGTTGCCGCTGTCTGTCCAGGCCGGATCTGTGTACGTTAGATCCGCCACAGCTGCATAGGGGTGTCTGAACCCCCCACTGGAAGGGCAGTGTTGCATAGGAGGGCCCAGAATTGTACCCTCCCTGCCTGGAGCAGAGAAGGAGATATGGCGGGGGTGGAGCAGGAGGTGAGGCAGGAGGTTTGTGGGGAGAAGTGGGGGGCAATAGGAGGTTGGGGGCTTGGCACAGCCCTGTGTCTCTGCTGCGCAGTGACCCGTGCAGCTGTTAGTAGAACCCTGCAAATCTGCGGATATCCATGGACAATTTTTGTGGATTGCGGATTGGATGCGGATATAAACGTCTAGCTTTAGTCATGTGTGAAGCAAGGTGTTAGCTAACAAAGGTTACTTTTTAGCAGCCCACAAAAGACCAAAATGAAGGATGAAAAATATTGTCTAAATACCTGTCAGCTGTCTAAGAGCAAGTTATGCTGTTTATTTTCTGGGGTTTTTTAGGTGATAGTAGGTGAAGATATAAAATTATCTAAGTAAGCTCTTTGTCCGCTCTAAGAACAAAGTGAAATTGACACATTAGTTTTCAGAATTAAAAATATTGCACAGGGGCTGTTTATTTCATGCCAATGCATTTCCAGCTGCCAAGACCCCAAGATTCAGCAAAGCACTTAAGAATGTACTTAACTTTAAGCATGTTCTTAAGTCCCATGATTTAAAAGGATTTATGAAAATGCTGAAGCACTTTACTGATTTTGGGTCTAGTATCTAGTCTAGTATTTATATTGCACACTTCTTACTAATAAGCTTCCAGCTGGGAACACTCACTCCTTTAAAGATTGCAAATGTGAGTCTATCAAATTACTTTGTATTTTTGTGAAAGGGCAAAAATCTTAAAGGATTCTAGTCAGGTATTAAGGGAGAGGGGTTTAAAGCAGTGTCTCTTCCCATTAATATTACCTTTATTTGAAAGCTAAATTTTAAAATTAATTTAATTTTCTCTTTATTACTCTGTTTACTCTTTAAAATTCATTCAGCTTGAAGAGTGAAACTAGATTGCTCAGTTTTACTTTATGTTATCGGTCAATCACTTTCTAGTTGCCATGCATTATACACAAAACTTGTCTTTTGCTTTACAAATCTGATGGTGAAGGTCATAAATCCATCCACCAAAAAAACGTATAATGAAATTTAAAAATTAGTTATATGTGTACATTTTTCTTCTCTTTTGTTTCAACTGAAACCTGAATTTTGGGCCTGCAGTGCTTGACAATGTACCTTCAGGGAAAGAGCAAGATTTTTATTTTAAGCTAATCAGTTATTTTTAAGTTCATGTTACTGCAAATACTGTTTAAACATCACTGTTCAGAAATAAAAAATTTCTTTCTTCCACAAGATGGCTCTACTAAACAGTGCCCTTTACTGGCCTCGCATTTTCTTTAATGAAATAGGCATCAACAGAATCTATACAAAATACTACTCTAAACAATTCATACTAAAATTAACATTTCTAGGTTTTTGTTGCTGCATCCATCTTAATAAACAGTTGTGTTTCATCCAAATTTAATACACAAATTCTAACCATAATGTCTCTGCAACTTTCCTTAGAAAAGCAGTTAAGAACACACAAAGTGAGGAAAAAATTAAGAGGAGGCTTTTTGGAATACAAGGAAATTTGACCGGAATCAAATTAATTTGTAATATCAGATTTAAATGCAATAAACATATATAATAACTTATATTGGTCCACTGACGCTCAATAGTACTTCTCAGTAAAAAAAAAAGCAGCTAATGTATTGCACACTTAATATTTCCCAAAATACACCAGCATTTTTGCTTCCTTACTAAAACAGCTGGAAATTCAGGTTTATAATCTCCACAGCAAATGTCTCAAAAATATCCCAGGGGCCAAGCATGGAAATTACATTCTTAAAATGCTATGTACCAAAGGCCAAACACTACTCTCGAATACCCATATGCTGTTTGTAATACCACAAAGTCATTATAAAACATTTAAAAGATTTTAGTTAAACTAAGGAGATCTCTCAAGCTAAATAGAGCTCAGCATGCAAAAAAGGTTTAAATGGGGACAGAACCAGCTCACAGTTATCCAGTCTTACTACTTCCCAGGAGTGTGAATGGCTTGGAAAATTGCTCATAAAGACTTCAACACAGAAATCTCTCCATAAACATATCCCGGTATTTTAAACACATTTAGATATAAATATAAGGATATTGCCATGAAGCACCTTTATAAACCCTTTCTTTGAACTCTAAGTGCAAAATATCAGCGTATGACCTTAGAATTTCAGATCTCCTATGAATTTCACAGCTAAATGAATATACTCACATTGTAAAATGAAGGTAGGGTTTATGTATAGCAGCTGACGATTGTTTCTTTGGTGATCCTGAGTGACAGCCTGTCTCAAAAATTGAAGCATTTTCATCTTCACTATCGTCTAATATTAGACTTGGTGCATCTGTTCAAAATGAGATGTTTATTAATGTTAGACTTCTGTCACCTCTTGGTACACTTCAACAAAAAGACATTGGACATTTCTTGGTTAAAAAAAGTTTAATACATACTACATGAAGTGGGAAGAATATGTCTAAGAAATTACTACATGTGATTTTAGTAACCAATACTACCCAGAAAGTGTTAAAATACAGAAAAAAGAAGAACAGGAGGACTTGTGGCACCTTAGAGACTAACAAGTTTATTAGAGCATAAGCTTTCGTGGACTATAGCCCACTTTAAAATACAGAGTTTAGTCAGAAATTCAAATGCCCTTTTACCATCAAGCAACGTGCCATTTTCATAACCACAAAGATACAAAAATAAGTTGTGTATTACAATAAATAAAATTGCTGGTTTAACTCATTACAAAATGCTTCCTCTTGATATATTTTGCTGCCAGATTCATTCATTGTTTATGTTATTGACTTGAACTTACTTACTGACTATGCATAATTGTGCACAATAAATAAGCCCCCAAAATTTCAGAAGTATACTTCATATTTCAATATTTTTCCTAGTGATAAAGTGGACAACTTGTGTTTGGGAATGGAGAATTGCTTTCTACCACACACAAATTTGATAAAGAATATAAAAATGGTCAATGTCAGTTCAAGTCAACTTTGTTTTCATATCCTGGGGTCTTAATCTATTTTGATTCCTTCAATAACAAGTCATTCTCAGCTATTGAATTTAACTATACAGGGCTTCTTAAATTAAAGTAAAAGACTGAATACAACAGAGAAGAAAGACTATGCAAGAAAGTAAACTGAAAAACCCTGAGCACATGAAACCAATCAGAAAAGTCATTTGGTAGAAGATTCAGCATGACTGGAAATCTACATTCCAAATTAATTCAAGATAAACAGGAATGACAAAGCAAAAACCAACATTGCTGGGTTGGAATTAAACTGGTAAGCATATACCATGTAGCTGTCATTCAAACTCAAATAGAGGGAAAAAAATTCTAGACATCACTTACTTATGCTAACAATCAACTGGAATGTGGCATACGAGCACAAATATTTAAAACTATTACATGTAGATCATAATATTGTAGGACTGGAAGGGCCCTCGAGAGATCATCTAGTCCAGTCTCCTGCAATCATGGCAGGACTAAGTATTATCTAGACCAGGCATGGCCAAACTATGGCTCCAGGAGGAATTGGTTACGAATCTGAAGGTGGAAAGCAATTTGGGTGAAAGTGATCATGAAATGCCATATTTCATGATTCTAAGTAAAGGAAGGAATGAGAGCAACAGAATAAGGACAATGGACTTCAAAAAAGCAGATTTTAACAAACTCAGAGAATTAGTAGGTAAGGTTCCATGAGACAAAAATCTAAGGGAAAAAGGAGGTCAGGCGAGCTGGAGTTTCTCAAGGAGACCACATTAAAGGCACAACTGCAAACCATCCTGATGCAAAAGAAAGACAGGAAGAATAGTAAGATGCCAATATGGCTCCATCAGGAGCTCTTAAATGACCTGTAAATCAAAAAGGAATCCTACAAAAAGTGGAAATATGGACAAAGTGCTCAGGTGGAGTACAAAAGACTTAGCATTAGAATGTAGGGACAAAATCAAAATGGCTAAGGCACAACATAAGTTACAACTTGCGAGGGACATAAAAGACAAGAAGAGGAGGGTCTTTAAATACATTAGAAACAAGAGAATGACAAAGGAGAGCACAGGTCCTGCGCATTTAGTGGGCAAAGAGTGCTAACTGATGACATCAAAGAAGCTGAAATGTTTAATGCCAATTTTGCTAAAATGATTAATACTATGTTAGAAAACTGTGTAATGAATTATGTTAGAGAAATTAATACTATATATACACATCATTATAAGACTGTAAAGGAATGTGCATTTTGAATGTGTCTCTGCTGATACAGCATTTCAGAAATTAACTGAAACAGCTTCAGGGTTGTGTAACCCATGAAACCTGGTTTGCATGTCTTAGTTGTAAAATTTTTGGTCTGTGCAAATAGGGTAAAGCAGAGCACCAAGGCGGCTTCAGATGTGCCCCCCCCAACCAACAAGACAAGCCAAAAATCCAGCCAACAAAAACAGACCAATAAGAAGGATAACTATTTTAAGATAAGAACTGGATAGAGCCAACTGGATTGAAAGCAGAGAATGGATGACAGAAGTGGACAGATGAAAGCAAGTTTTATCAGGATAAACAAAAATCTATTAGTTTAGGCTAGTTATTGTGATTTATGCATGATAATATTTTAATTAGATAGGTACACAGATGAGGCAACTTGGTAAACTGAGTCTGCACAAAGCTACAAAACAAGGGATAAAAGACAGGTGCTTAAAAACAAAAGTAGAGAAGACACAGGAAAAGAAAACAGCAAAGACCTGAAATTTGAAGAGAGTCACCCTGTTCCTAGGAGAGGTAACTTGATCAATTAACTTTCTTGCCTTATATTTTTCTGCCTGTATATGTAATTTATAGGTAATAATAGTGTTGTCCTAAAACATACAAAATAAAGGTTAAGAGAAACTGTTTAAGCCTAAACTGAAGTGGATCTTGGTTTTCATCCAATAGTGACCACATACTCAACACAATATTAACTTCAATGATGAAGGAACGCAACCCAAAATAGGAAAAAACAGGTTAAAGAATGTTTAGATATGTTTGATATATTCAAGTTGGCAAGGCCTGATGAAATTCATCCTAGGGTAATTAAGGAACTAGCTGAAGTAATCTCAGAACCATTGGCAATTATCTTCAAGAAACTCAATGGAGGACAGATGATGTCCCAGCGGACTGGTGAAGGGAACACAGTACCCATCTTTTAAAAGGGTAGCAAAGAACAAACAGGGAATTATAGACCAGTCAGCCTAACTTTCATACCTGGAGAGGTACTGCAACAAATTATTAAACAATCGATTTGTAAGCACGTAGAGGATATTAGAGTTATGAGTAGCCAGCAAGAACAAATCTTGCCAAAGCAACCTAATTTCCTTCTTTGACAGGGTTACTGGCCTAGTGGATGGGGTAAAGCAGTAGACATGATATATCTTGATTTTAGGGTATGTCTACACTGCAATTAAACACCTGTGGCCGGCCCATCAGCTGACTCAGGCTCATAGGCTCGGGCTATTGGGCTGTTATATTGCATTGTAGATGTTCAGGCTCAGGCTGAAACCTGGCACTCCACGAGGGTCAAATGTAAGACACGGAAGGTAACTGTCCTGCTCTACTCAGCACTGGACAGACCTCCGCTGGAGTTTTGTCCAATTCTGGGTGCCACACTTTTGGAAAAGATATGGATTAATTGGAAACAGCCCACAGAGTAACAAAATGATAAATGGTTTAGAAAACCTGTCCTCTCAGGAAAGATTAAAAAATGGGCAGGTTTAGTCTTGAGAAAAGAAAACTGAGGGGATACCTGATAACTATCTTCAAATATATATAAAAGAGAATGGTGTTATAAAAAAGAATGATTAATTGTTCTTCATGTCCCGGAGAAGAAGTAATCGGCTTAATCTACAACAAGGAAGATTTAGGTTAGACATTAGGAAAATCTTTCTTACTTACACTCTGGAACAGGCTGCTGAGGGAGTTTGTGGAATTCCCATCACGGGATGTTTTTAAGAACATGCTCGAAAAACACCTGTCCAGGATGGTCTAGGTTCACTTAGTCCTGCCTCAGTGCAGGACACTAGACTTGGTAACTTCTTGAGGTCCCTACCATCCCTACTTTTCTATGATTCTATCTGTTTATGATTAATACTCAAACTCAATGAAAACTTCCAAACTCTCTTTGGTAAAAATAAGGAAAGATCAGTAGGAAGGAAAACAAACGAATATATAGACCATTTAACCATAAGCATAAAAGAATCTTTAGAACAAACTTTTTGTCATTGACTGCTTGGAAAGTACCAGCACAGAGCAAAAGCAACAGCACACAGACTTTGAAAAAACATGACAAAAAGAGCAATTTTTTTCTCTTAACAGTGTCAATAACAAAGGGCTTCTAAGGTGGTATTTCCTGGAGGTTAACAACTGGGTTTGTTAAGGAAGCTCTGGAGAAGAATTTAAGTAACTCAAGCCAGAGACTGCTCTAGAGTAGGTAACTAGAAGTCAGAACTCCAGGATTCATGGCTCTGTCACTGACTTGCTTTGTGACATTGTACAAGTCATTACTTCTCTGCATCTTGGTTTATCAATATCCATTCATAAAATGTAAATATATTACCATGAGCCTTTTCAGATGTTGTACTAACACTAAAAAGTACTAAGCATATGTTAAAGTAAGCAAAGAATAAGGGCTGAAATTCTCAACTACTCCTGCCAGTAACTAACTTCCCAAGAAATGACCTGGGTCATTGCTTAAACATAACTAAACACCCAACCAGGCACTGCCACAGACCCTTCTTTGCAGCCTGGACTCACTCCGTCACCAACAACGGGAAGCATGACTTGGAAGCTCTACCTCTTAGCAGTATATCCCTTCCCAGACAGCAGAGACTCAGCACCAGGGCCAGGAGCTGCCAGAGTTGCTTTGATATAGCCTTATCCCATCCCCTCAACAGTAATCTCATTTGCAAACACAAATTCATCTACTCTCTCTCTCTCTACTCCAGATATGTCTCCTTCTGTCCAAACTAAAACTTCAGCCTGTTTCTCTGACATTTCCTTGTGGATATCATGTCAGCTCAAGTTCATCATAGCTTAAACAGAACTCCTAATCTTCCCCCACCTAAGCCACCCCCCTTACTCTCTGACCTCCCTTCTAAATTACTGTGAACAGCAACACCATACTCTCCATCATTCAGGCCCATAACCTGGATTCATCTTCAACTCAGACCTCTCTAGATCCTCATATCCTGTCTGCTTAAATCTTGCAGGTTCTTGCTACACAACATCTCTAAGACATGCCCTATCCTATACATGCACTCAGCTAAAATTATTGTGCAGGTGCTCATTATCTTGTGTCTCAGTTACTGAAA